GGGGGCCAGACAGATGGATGGATGTTGGTTCAATGCATCTCTACAACATATTCCATGATATTTCCAACAAAGAAAAAACTGTACACTCACACAATTCCTCCAAAATAATTGTAAATCAATACCAACCTCATACTCCTCTATATACTAACACCACTTGTACTTATTCATCACACCAAGTCACTGTAGAAAGAGTTACTGTGGTTGAGGTCAAGATTAGATCTTTTTCCTGTTCTGGTCAAATTCAACAGAATCTGATGTATTCACTGTATAAGTTAGTAACATCAGAATTGTCTTATACACATAGAGTTTATGAGTGACTGGGTAACTCAATGTGGAATATTATAGAATGGTCACTACTTTGCACAAACTGCAAGAGAGTTATGCAGTTGTGAATTTTAACTCTAAAAGTATTAAGTTTTTTGAAAGGTAAAAAAACTCAATTCATGTAATGGTTTTTGTTAGATACAGTTTTCTTCTTGAAACTTACTTTGCAAGTCTGCAAAAGTTTACCTGACCACTGTCTTCGCAAATATATCTTAGTTTATTAGAATTTAGATATGACACCTGTACTATATTAGATGCTTGATACTATTTCCAAAACTCCTCATTGTACGCTTGGAATAATCCAACAAGAATTTCAACCACTCTGGCAAACTCCACAGAATATGCATACCATCTTAAAAATCTGGACGGGAATGGGGAAGAGGAGGAAAAAAAAAAAAAAAAATCAATGTTTCTCACTTGCCCAACAAATGTATCACTGATCAAAAAGGAGATTTCTTGTTTACATTCTTTGAAAAGCAGTGTTACTGTACACTTGAGGAGGAATGCCCCACCCCCTAAAAAAATCCTTTAAGACAGTGGTTCTCAGCCTTTCCTGGACTCAAGGCATGCCTTGTCAGACTTGAGACACCCCTCTATAACTTTCTGTTAATTGAGAGGAACCCCATTTTGAACACTAATTTATTACAGGACTTACCACCTTACAGAGTGGCTGGGCAGTGGGGGAACAGCTAGACAGGAAAAGACCAAGTCTACCCTAATCGCTTATCTCTTCACACCTCCTGTATCTCCTCACATCACCTGCAGCACCCTTCAAAGGATCCTGTAGCACGCTGGGTAACCCAACACCCTGACAGAGCATCATTGGTTTAGAAGTATGTTAACCAAAGATGTTTTTTCATATATGGATATCTTTGAAGGTACCATTCTTTAATGATACTGTAAAACCTCTGCCGGTGTAATAAGGGGCATTTCAATGTTTTCTGAGATCACTGGAGTCCTGAACCAGTTGGAAATCGTTTTAACATCAGGCAAGCTTTAAGTCAGGGGTGTCAAACATAAGGCCTGTGGGCTGGATCAGCTCACAGGAACTCTGCTATCCAGCCCCTGGTGCTGCCTGGGTCTGATCAGACCCACATAGAACATGGCCTATGCCCATGGTGCAGGGCCAGACCCTTCTTCCCCCTCCCTACAACCTCCCCACAAGAAAACCTGATCCAGTGGCTGGTCCACTCAGTCTGAGACCCATGCTGCATGTGGATCCTGGAGTACCTGAAACATGTGCTGCATGCTGCACAGTCTAGTTGAAGCAGCTGCTGTGCTGCACACGGTGGCCATCCCAGCCAGACCACACTACAAGCAGTACCTGCTCTGACATGTGCACCACACACAGTGCCCACTCCAGCCAATCTGGGACCCACCCTGAACAGGTGTTCCCTAGTGCCACATGCAGCATGGCCCTGGAGTAGGTGAAACAGGCGCTGCATGATGTTCAGCTCCCAAACTGCTGTGATAGCCACTACATGCAGCACAGCTGCTGCCCTGGCCAGACTGCATGCAGCACTCAATCCAGCTGCTCTGGGATTTGCATTGCAGCATGGGTCTCAGACTGGGTGAAACAGCCACTGTATTGGGTACGCTGAGAGGGTAACAGCCAGAGATTAAAAAAAGAAGTTTGTGCAACACTGAATTGGTATATATGGTAATACTGACCTCTGTACATACTACTCTGAACTTTCATAGATTTATAGATTGTAGGGCTGGAAGGGACCTCAGAAGATGATCACGTCCAGCCCCCTGCACCAAGCAGGAAAGACAACTGGGGTCAGGTGACCCCAGCAAGCCAGCTGTCCAGTCTTCTCTTGAAGATTTCCAGGGTAGATGACTGCACCACCTCTGGAAGGAGCTTATTCCATCGTCTGGACACCCTAGCTGTGAAGTTTTTCCTAACATTGAGCCTGAAACAGTCTTCAAGGAGTTTGTGACCATTACTCCTAGTTTTCCCCAACGGTGCCCTAGTGAACAGTTGTTCACCAAGTCCTTGATGTACACCCCTAATATAGCAGTAAGTTGCTACCAAGTCCCCTCTCAGCCTTCTCTCTTTCAGGCTGAAGAGTCCCAGATCCCTCAGCCTTTCCTCGTACAACTTGCCGTGCAAGTCTCCGATTATAAGGGTGGTCCTTCTCTGGACTCCCTCAAGCTTTACCATGTCCTTGTTAAAGTGCAGCGCCCAGAATTGGATGCAGTACTCCTGCTCCAGTATCACCAATACTGAGTAGAGTGAACAAATCATTTCCTTGGTTTTGCTGGAGATGCATTAATTGATGTATTGGGTATTATTATTGATGCCAGGGTATTATTATCCCTGGTAGCTATGGCATTGCACTGCCGGCTCATATCCATACTGTGGTCTATTATTACCCCCAGGTCCCTTTCATTCATAGTGCTGGTCAGACTGGCACTGCCAAGCTTGTAGGTGCGCAGGGGATTGTTCATCCCCAGGTGGAGCGCTTTACATTTCTCAATGTTGAACTTCTTCTGGTTCTGATCTGCCCAGCTTGCCAGCCTGTCTAGGCTGCAGATTCAGGCAGACCCATCTTCAGGCGTGACCACACTTCTCCATAACTTTGTGTCATCTGCAAACTTGGCTAGTGAGTTCTTCACCCCCACATCCAAATCACTGATGAAGATGTTGAATAGTACTGGACCAAGCACCGACCCTTGCAGGACACCACTGGCCACTTCTCTGGGTCCTACCCCACAGCCAGCTTCCTACCCACTTAACTGTTGAGCAATTAAGCCCACAATCCTCCAGTTTTCTTGTGAGAACATCCTGGGATACTAGATCAAAAGCTTTTTGGAAGTCAAGGTATACAGTGACAACCTCCTCTTTTATCCAGGTGGTGAGTTACCTGATCATAAAAGGATATGAGGTTGGTAACACAAGACCTGCCTGTGACAAAGCCATGCTGGCTGTCATTCAGAATTCTATCACCCATAGACTCCTTAATTAATTTTTTCCAGGATTTTCCCTGGGATAGAAGTTAAGCTAATTGGCCTATAGTTAGTTACCCAGGTCCTCCCGTCTCCCCTTCTTAATGTAACCCCCTAACTTAATGTAAAAGACTCAAAAGTTTTTAAATTAAAACAAACGGACAGGAGAAAACTGTTCCAAATTAAAGCACCTCTCAATTTCAATTTGTGCAAAGCTCTCTGGAGAGATTATGTAACAAGAGGGTTACTACCTTTACCTGAAAAACTTAAGAGACATGTGTCAGGGTTCTCTCTTTTTTAAGTCTTCCTCGGAGGCACTGGGTGTTGGCTGCAGGCTGAGGATTTTGAGTGGGCTGTGCCAATGCTCCTGCTGGGGCTTAAGGTCAAAGGGTCATGGCTAGGGGATCTTGCCCCGCTGATCAGGATCAAACCGCCTGCCCTATATGGGGACAGGAAGGAATTTTACCCCATGGTCAAATCGGTATGAACTGTGGTGGGTTCTGCCTTCCTCTGTAGCAGGAAGCGTAGCCCTCCACCTGGGATCTCAAGTGTATAATCAGGGTTAGGCAATTATTTGGGCTGGGAAAGCTGTTCAGTGCTTGACGGAGCATGTGGGTGGGGTCTCCACAGAGCCCAGCCTCAGACCCAAGGGCATGGTGCACTAGGTTGGGAAGATAAGATGGGGCTGCAGGCAAGTAGGGAGCAGTGTTTAGGAGCAGGAGAGGCAAGCAGGGTTGGGATCATGGGATGGTGACAGAGTGGGGCCATCCCAGCAGCTTCGGGGCACAGTGGAGATCCACTACATGAACATCCCTGCAATGGGTGCTGGTTCCATGGAGACCCTGCTCACCCACTCCCCATTCAGTGCTCCCAGCAGTGGGTGTGGGGCAGACAAGCTAGCGAGTTCAAGCAGCAGAGATACTGGCAGGGGCAACTAGAGAGTGAGGGTGAGAGCCAGTTGCTGCAGGGGCTTCCAGGAAGCTGAATCCAGCCATTGCCCCTGCCCTGGCCCAGTCCTGTGGACTACAGTTCCTGGTATGCCTAAGAGCTGCATGTGGGGATAGGATGGGCTGTGCTCCACACCAGGTAGTACTTCTGTGCCTAGTGGGACCAGCTGCATACACCACAGCCTGGGCTGCCCCCTGTGCCAGGGCCAAGTGGGACCAAGGGACCTGCCACAGGCCAGATAGAATCACTGAGTGGGCTGGATCCAACCAGTGGGCTGTATTTTGCCCACCCCAATGTATATTAACAACCTTTTACAAAAGCAGGACATTGGCTGCTGTTGTCCCCTGCTTCTAACCTGTGGCAGATTAGGGTGTATTGTTAGGGTTGACAGTTTTACTAAGAGGTTAGATTATGAATTTGTATAGGAGGGTTTGGATAGGGATGATCCTGCCTCAACAAGGGGTTGGATTAGATGACCTATGGAGATCCCATCCAGCCCCACTTCTCTGCAATTTCTATCTTTCAGTAAAATTGGAAAAAAATATATAAGTATTATTGGACTACCAAACCTTGTGATGATATTCTGGGTTCAGAACCAAGTGCTCCAAGAAACGTTACTTCTCGTTCTAATTATTAAATATACCCAACAAACAATCATATGCTAAATTCTTGCCTTCTGCAATTCATTCATTAAATAATTTGCCTTTATTTCTGTCACTGTGCAATAGGATGATTGTGGACAAAATATTAAGCATAAGCCTATCATCCTTTCCCTGATTACTATCCTTGATTGATACTTAGCTGTATCTACCTGCAACTGCCATTTACTCAACCTTAAAGAAACAGGTTGTATGTGTACTTCTGAAATCTGGCTGAAGTGGTCCTTTTGCTCCACTTCCAATTTTTCAATTAACTGTATTATGGAAAAACACAGACTCTCCATAGCAAAAGTTCCATTGCACAACCACCCTATTAAGCCATATTTTTAATACCCAATAAAAGGTTGAATGAAAAAAAAATGGGTTTGGGTGAACAACTGATTAAGAAAAAGTTTCTTGGATAACAAAACAAGAGAAACTGAGAATAGCGTGAAGGCCGCAATGACCACAGTTTATGTGAAAAGAAGCAGGGACAGACTGAGATTAAGGCTCTTTATGGCCTGCACTCCACATCCTTGGAGTAATGTTGAAGTGACAGAAGAGGAAGATGGTAACCAATATTCTCCAGATACAGTTTATATTTGTAATTAGGCTAAGTATGAACACGAATATTTATTTACATAAAATACTTAATATACCTGTTATTTAAGGCACAAAATAACCAGAGTACTTCATGCATGGCATGAACAATGCTTTTATTATTGATACACGCACACAGAGCAAAAAATAGACACTATTTGCCAGACAAATGGCTGACTGCTTTAGCCAGGCATGTTTTCAGTATTGGGGACTGTTTATAAATTCCTTGATCTAGAAATGGGAATGGCCAATCACTCTCTCAAGAAACCAGAGCACCCTTGTTATAGCCTGTTAGACATCAACAAAGCACACCACTACTTAACTATCGCAGGTAGATTGTGAAAAGAATAGATTCAATAACCACCAGTATTTTAAACGACTGGCTCTTTATTAAAGATATATGGTTGTGTTAGATAAGGAACACAATAGTTATTTAAAAAGTTGACTAAAAAACCTGCAATTTTCCACTTCCTGCGTACTTTTAACTAGAGTTGGCAAGCCAGTCAATTGCCTGCATATTTTTTGACTGGTCAAAGATTATAGCTATTTTACAAAAAAAATAGTTTTTTTTTAGTTTTCTTGACAGAGGTATGATTTTTTTTGACACATTTCTTAATGGAAAATCTGTGCCTGATATTTGACCGAACCTTATTTGACCGGTCAAATACCCAACCCTACTTTTAACCAATATATTTTTACATGTTGTTTGAACAAACCTTGTCCATCTTCACAGATGCAGTCTTTTTTCTGTCATCAGTTGAAATATCACCTGTGCAAAAATTAAATAGATAAATCTCTCTCAATTTAAAAAATACTTATTGATGCAGTATTAAAAATTAATAAACAAGAACACTGATACAGTATTAAAAATTAATAATAAAAAGGCAGTATCAAATCAAGTCCCCTCCACTCCTAAAGGAAAAGCATAAAACAATTGATAGAGAAGAACCAGGAAAATATTGGGAAGCATTTGCAGAGGAAGTTACTAAGATGTGCTACAGTAACAAGAATGGAAAATGAAAGATCCATTCGTCCTTTAAACCATATAAAAACAGGATCATGTATTTTTACTAGCTTAAATATATATTCAAGAGAAATTTTTCAGAGGCCAATTAAGATGCTACTGGAGCTAGTCATCTATTCCAGACTCCCAATGCTATTGAGCTGAAAATGAAGAAACCAAATTATGTCCATTAAAATTATGGAAAATGGACCAACTGCTTGTAGGCCACAACAATCCAGCCAGATGTCCTATGAGAAGCAGGAGCTGCCCAATTCCCCTGCTCCATAACTACATGGGAGCTACTTAAAGGTTCACAGCCTGGTTACAGCTGGCAGATGCATAATGGGCTGGATCGCAGGAATTTTATCCCCAACTGATTCCAATTATCGAGCTTTCTGCCATGTAGGATCTTTAATGTCTAGCATGGCAGGACACAATCGTTGTGAACCAGGATTAAGTTCCTCACATCCCATCGAACAATTAAATAATCATCTGCCTAGCTTGCTTTGTTTTCACCTGTAAAAAGGTAATTAAAAAAAAAAAACCCAACATGCTTCCTAAAGCTACTTAAGAATTGCTGTACCTGCCAACAAAATGATAAGTGGGACAAGACGTATGTGGCAAACACTTGAGAACAGGTAGGAAAGAGACCCATGAGACCACGTTCCTATTTAGTCATAACCAGAACTACAGCAAAGCTGATGAGCCCATGGATTACTAATAAACGATAAAACTGTCAAGATAGAGTGCCAATTCAACAAGCTGTCCATGCACATAACTTCTGTTGACAACAGACACTTCTGAGGATATGAAGAGTCACAAGAAAAATGCAATGATTGGAAAAAGCACTGTCAATGTGAAAGAATTAATCTCTTTGGTTTACCAAAAAGGCAACTGTGAAGTGACTTGATTATAATGTATAAAAATGTACACAGGGAAAAACAGTACCATCTGTAAAAATGCACCTCAAGTATAACACTTTGAACCCCATTACTTAAAAGACCTTTTTCCTGGTTATTCTCTATCAATTGTTTTATGCCTTTCCTTTAGAAGTGGAGAGGACTTAATTTGATAGTTACGCTCATCAGAAACACTTTACATTTTGAAATTCATTCAGCTTTAGTTAAGAAGCTTGAGAAGGTCAGTTTAAAGCTCACTTCCAGTTAGTCTCATTTCCTTCGCAGAATTAATTTAATGATGCAATAGTTGGGTGGGGCTCAGGTGTGCACTCTCCCTCTCTATGTATATATTTCAACTGTGGAAAGAAAAACTCTTTGCTTCTCTACACACACACACACACACACACACACACACACACAGAATCTATGTGAGAGATTTTCTTTACACAGTTGAAATAACTCAAAAATATATCCAAAAGGAACTTAATTTAATTTTTAAAAATTCTATAAATCTGGGAATTTGGGACAGCTTTTAAAGTTTGGATGAATTTTGTTAAACAAATATCTTAAAAAAAAGGAAAAAAAAGAGCAATACTCCTACAACAAGCTAGAGTTGGACTTATCAGAAAATGTTACCTCAAAACGTTGCTAATGCATCCCAGTTCTGAACTGCTCTAACTTAATTGCAGTTTCTTCTGCAAGCAGAGACTGGGTTGAATTATGATAGGTTCTATAATTGTTTTTTCAATGCACAAAAATAAAAGAAATCCATTTCATTCATGATGTATTCTAGATTTACTGTGATTTAAGGGAAAATGTTCACATTAATATTGCATTGTACTCTAGGCATAGTTCTATTACAAGCAAGTATTTTTGTGATATTTTATTGGACCAAACGTATAGTTGGAAGCATGGGCAGATCTAAGATTTTGAAAACGGGGTGCAAATGGTGCGGTGCATTGTCACATATAACTTTTTTTTTCCCAGTTACAAAGAAACTAGAAGTTTTACTAATAAGCTTGGGACCCAGGGCTATATTACTGTTTAAGATGGAAACAAAAAATCTTTATTGGAATGTGTATTCATTTAACTATATCATATATTACATTAAGAACACAACAAACTAGGCAAAAATAGTAAAAACATATTGTTTCATTAGTCCTCTAGTCTTTGAAATTAAATGGACATCTCTTTCAGATTCATAAAACAAAAGCCTTCTGGAACATCTTGATAGTGCATCCAATGCTTCACTGAAAGTTATTTCCGTACCGAAATGTTCCCCCTGAATATTTCCATACCTGAATTGTTTGACGCTAGAATTACAAAGTCTGTAGGGCTCACAAACAGGAGATACATTACCAGGAGCAGCTACCAGACAATAAAATGCAGAAGAAAGGATAGCTTGATTAGTAAAGCAATTAAAGAGGTAACACCTGGTGAATGAAGAGTTTAGAAGGAATCAAGTAAATTGTAATAAGCCATGAAGTCAACCGACTCCCTCACTGTTGCCTGAATAGCAAAAGCTGCTGCTACTGCCAGACAGCTGGATTTAAACTCTGTGTGGGGCAGGAATCAAAGGGAGCTTAGACTGCATGATTACACCCCGTCCCTGGAACCAGCTCTGGTTGAGAGCGCTGTTGGACAAGGTTTTAGGCATCACGTGCCCTTCTTCAGGTCTAAGGCTACAGACAGGAGTTCATTTCTAGCACTAAGAATTCCTCTTAAATTCTTATCAGTAGAAAAATAGCCCGAGCTGAAGCCTACATGCATTTCAGCCCTCTAGGTGGAGTTGTGCAGATGAGCTCCCCAGCCAGGCAGCACTCAGCCACCCTTACGCTTAAGGGAGCCCATTAATGGACACCCTGCTCTCTCCCTTGCCTTGGGAAGGAGACAGGCTTATTAATTGGCAGCTGGCAGCTGCTGAAAAGCAGCTGCTGCCAAAGACCACCCAGGGAAGGTTCCATCCCCAGGAGAATACCCCCTCCCCCCCACCAATAAGCTGATTGAAAACCCTTCTCCTTCAACTGGAACCTGCTCTGGGAGGGATCCCCCACAAAGAAGAATACCCTACTCCCTGCCATTCAGCTGACCTGTCCAGCAGAATGCAGCAGAGAGAATTTTTCAGGGCAAGGTCCTAACAGGCCACCTTGACAACTTGCTCTTGGGTAGGCTGGGCTATCAGAGCACCAGCATTCTCCCTCCCTTTCCCCTTAAAGGAAGGGAGGGCGGGAGGAGACTCAAAGGACTGTAGGATACTGGGTGTCCTGCACACTCAAGAAAAGTACAGATGTTCAAGTTAGACTGGGAGGAGGGAAACCTTCCTGATAAGCATCCAATCTAACTACTGGTAGAAAAGCCAGCAATCTTTCACTAGAAATCCCTTGAATGGCTGTGTGCTCTCTTTCCAAATTGGGAAAAATGCTTTTCTCCTTGCATAAGTGTAACACTTGTTCATGGCTTAAGGAAGAGGCAAGTGAAAGATCAACTACATAGTACGGGAAAGCCTTCAGGAAAATGCAATCTGCTGAGAGGGATGGAAGAGGGCTGTGAACAAGGAGCAAAGAGATGGTATAAGGAGCCATTACAAGCAGGTGTCTACTCAACTTGCAGCGAAACAGCAAATTTTGCAGCTTGGTCGTAGCACAAAGCACTGATTTAGCATGAATTTTCTGGTGGCCCTGTCCCTTGCTGTTGACTGGTAGAGAGGCATATACCATATAACTATAGCAAATTCCACAGAAAGTAATTATATAAATTTGTCATATTATAAATTTAAATATTAAATTTAAATATATGATAAATATAAATGTATACGTGATGTAACTTATAGCATCATAATTTATTATATGTAGTATTCTACAAAAGGTTTAGAAATACTAATTAATGCTAACCTTAATAGAAACATTTTCACTTCAATGACTGGTGCCTTCACGTAGTCCATGTCACTAGCAGACTAAATCAAATCACATGATCTAAGGCTGCAGCGATTTGTCATGTTGTCTTTGTATTCTGGTAAGCACTAGGACTTTCTAAAACAGTGTAATATATGAATACAATGGGGGGTTTTCAGGTTGTTTCTGCAGGAAATCATGGCCAATGCGATTGCAAACAATGCTGTCTTTTGCAGTTTCTGTGAAAACCACAAATTAAAGCAGACCCCTAAGTTATAAGTAGTACAGCAGGCTATCTGGTTAGTGGCAGAAAGAGACCATTCAAGTAGTTTTGACCCATGAAGCACAAGGAGATTAGCAGCAGTATTTCCTAGATTATCTGTATTAAAAATGAAGAGGTTTTTTGGTTTGTTTGGTGTTGTTTTGTGTTTATTTTTTGTTTTTTTTACTGTCCAGAAGGGCTGTGAATTTCTGTTCCCAGGTCTGCCATTTGCAGATCTTTTATGCATTCCCTTTGAACACAAGGACTGTGAGATCTATGAAAAAAGTGTGCTCCTACTTGTGTTCATATTTATCTGTCCTTTATATTTTTTCATTGGAGCATTCACATTCTGATGTAGGAAAGTTCTTATCTAGTTTCATCTATATAACTATGTATTGCAATTATACAATGTCTCTTTGAGGCCTATGGAAAAGCACTTGATTGCCTAAAAGCTTTTTGTAGAGTTTTTCCAGCTATACAACTAGTCCAATAAAAGGTATCACAAAAAAAAAAAAAAAATCCTTGCTCCTCATGCATTTCCTGGACTACTGTGGCTATAGAACTAGTATTGCTGGAGTTCTCCGACCAGAAAAAATTCCCTTTGCTTCTCAAATTCTGCTGCTTAACGTTCAAGTCTATCTCTGAATACACATAATATAAAACTGACCCCCTCCCCCCCCCCCAAAAAAAAATTAAAAGCTTTTTAGATCACAACAGGAAAAAAATCCTAGAGTTTCATATTGAGATTAATGTAGTCTTAAAGCAACAACAACAAGGAAAAATATCTACTTACTGTGGTTTTTTTCCACGTCTTTACACAATTTTGCTATTAACGGCCCTTTTTCTAACTGTCCATCTTTTCTGTAATATATTAATGAAGAGTTATTTGCAATAATGCAATGGGCAGCATTGTATAAGATGTGCTGCATAACATTAATAACAAAGAAAGGTGGGGCCTGTCCCAAGTTTTAGGCACTTTTGCCTACTGAAGCACTAATCTTATATGCTGTACGTACTGCATCCCTTCCCATAAAAATCTATTATAAACCTCACCATCTACACATCCTATCATCTAATCAATTTTCAAAACAATGAAGTACCAATTCCTACATAATATTTGATGCCTTATTCAATTTGGATTTCGACTCGAACATGTAAAATGAGGGTCTGGATTCAGCTATTTGATTAATATCTGCCAATGCTTATAATAGGCACGCAAAGTATCAATGAAATCAAGTCCTGACCATGCTGCATGACTTAAGTCACAAATTTCAAAGTCCTGCCTGTCATCATAATATTGAATCCCAGATAAAAGAGGTCTTCCAAACCTAAACAAATTTTATCAAAGCCAGATAGTCCTGACAGCCACAATGTTTAGGCATTTCTTCCATCATGTTTCTACTCGAAATGATAGAAACTGTCTCTTATCTAATTATCCATCTTATGGGAATGTTAAGATTCCAAAAGAAATTATAAGAAATCATTATGTAAAACTACCCATCTTGAAACAGTTCTGGAACATTCAATCAATTCTATCAAATCCCAATAAATCTGAGCATGAATTAGAGTCACCAAACAGCAACCTTAAGCCACAACAGCATAGGTAGAAAGTCATCACTAACTTTTCTCACTTGTTTGTGATTTTCTTAAATTTCATTTTGGGATGAAGTTTAATCTAAGCCAGGGGTCAGCAAACCCCGGCACACGTGACAAGCATGGCATGCAAGGCCATTTTGTTCAGCATACCACCGCCAGCCCGAGCTCTAAGCAGCTGCCATGGAGCCATGGAGCTCAGGTTGCTCCCAGCAGGCGACTGGGAGGCTGCAAACAGCTGCTCCAGGCTCCAGCATGTTGGCACTCTGGCACCTTCCAAGGTAGACATTGTTTTTTTCGGCACTCTGGCCAAAAACGTTGCCTACTCCTGATCTAAGCAATTGAGCATCATAAGGTAAAACAAAGAGAAAGAAGGTAAGAATGTCTTCTATAAAGATTAGGTGCATTTTCACAACAGAATACAACAAGTTAATCCTTTGATTACCTACCACTTGGTTACAAGTACATGAAAACTAGCAAGTAGTTAGTTTCTCAAAGACTTAAGAATGACTGAAAAGGAGTGGCAATACACTGTATTTTGTTACTGTTTTTGAAAATAGCTCAAGTTAAAATTTTACAAACTGTTTTATTTTTTGGACTATCTTTTACAGTTAAACTTTTTAACAGGTTTAGAAAATTTCAATTAAAAACAAGGATTTTTACTTGGGAAAGTATAAGAAGTATATTAAAAATATTTAAATTAAACTAGTTTATTTTAAGAATCTAGCATGTTGATATGTTAGTGAAATTACTTCCTGTATTTTATTTGGTATATAAAACTAAGCTTAGTTAAGGTAAACTTTAGTTTAAGCTAAGATCTGTACGCATGCTGACAGTCTTGAGATACTGCACAATCGAGAGACTATTTCAGCTGAAATCCCAAACAATTCAGTAAATTATTACTATGACTCCTGTGTGCCCAATTCATGTATTCATCTCCCTAATAATTTTATTTTGCTGTTGAAGAAACTGCTTTTCCCAGTAAAAGAAAAAACAGCCATTATAAATATATGACAGGGAAGAAAATTGCTCTTTGCAAGAAGGAACAAGAAGCAGTTCTCAAAGCAGTGCGATTTACTTGCACATTCTTTTAAAATTAAAAAGAACTGCTAAATTCCCATAGTGATTTGAAAATGTGTCCTTAAGACTTCATGAGGATATTTTAGATGTAAATTCCTACGATCTATTGCAAGCCTTTTCAGAGGTTATCTTTAGGGACCTTATTCATGGAGGCTGCCTCCATATTTCAGTCCCAAAACAGCATCCAGCACCATTTTTGCAGCAGAGCATGGCAGCAGCTGCCCCCCCCGCGGATTAAGCAAGGGGCCCTGGGAGTCCTGCCCCTCCCCTGGATATTGATGAGTGACCACCTGTGACTTTGGGGAGGGGCAGGACTTCCAAGGCCCCTTGTCCAGAGGCATGGTGCCCCCCCACAAACTACACTCCACTGCAAAAATCTGCCCCTTCCCCCCAGGTTTCACAATACCAGGGTTTCCTGCCTCTATTTGCAGCCACTCGCTTTTCCTTCTTTTTCATAGGGACTGGGCTTTTTCACGGGCGACCTATCAAATTTGCAGTTTCCACAAAAATAGCATAATCATAATTTGGTAGATCCCTAGTTATCTTAAAGGAAAAAAATGTGAATATCCAACAGTTTTATTTTTATGCTATGTTTATTCTTTTTTCCTTAGTGCCTGGACCAAAGAAACCAAGCACAAAAGATACAAATATATGCAACAGGCTTTTGAAGGATCTTCCAAAATTAGTTTTAAATATTTAAAAAAATGTTTATTTTGAACTCTTCCCCAGTATTTATGCAATTAAGTGGACCTAGTATTAGTGATAAAAAAAGAATGCTGAAATGGTACTAAAGGGAAAAGGGAGCATTTTTTTCCTGTAAAAAAATAACTTAAAAATAGGAAAGATGCTCCAAAATGTTTAAACTAATTTAAAAAGCTATGTTTATATTCTATTATGGCTACTGCTAAATCTTTCATTCAATGTACCACTTACCTCTTAAAGCCTTTTATATTGATATGGCAACATTTTCCCTTATTGCAGCAGCAGTTCTCTTTCTCTTCTTTTTCCCTTAGTTGCCTCACCTGAACCTGCAACAAAAAAGTCAGTCAACTTTGGAACAATGAGAGTGCAAACCGACAGATGCATTTAAAAAAAAATTAACATACAATGAATAGTTAGCTGATACACTCTCTAAGCTATATCTAAAGGGCCTGATACATCCTTAATCTATAGGTTATTTGGATCCCACAGAACCTCTAAAACCAGAAATAATTTAATCTGTTCAATTTCGTGCATCACAGTATATACCTTCAGAACTGTTCCCTTGGTTTTTTATAAATCTAAATAATGTCGACTAGTTCCCCTTCAAAACAAGTTACCAATTTGATGTTTCTAGTTTGACCTACTCAATATGACCTGCTGTATAAAAATTCAACACCTGCCAGAGTGCAATGCATGCTGTCCCTACATACAGCTCCATTTCCAAACATGTGGCATGATTAATCTCAATAACAAAACAGCCCTCTAAATACAGGAAACAAAATAAAGAGAATTTTCAGAAGCATAGGAGCTTTGGGAAAGTGCATAAAATGGTGAAGAAACACTGGTCCACACCAGGAGAGTTTTAAAAGAGACTAAGGAACATAACTTTAAAAGTTGTTTTAAAAGGTTTGGGGTGGGGGAGAAGGGGGAGAACTGCTGCATACAAGTCATTCTTATTTACATTTATATCTATTGCATCACATCTTATACTAACATTTTACATTCTTATTTTGTCAACCTGCTAATAATGCAATTAATGAATTTTCAACAAATGACTGTAACAAGACAAATAAATCTACAGTCCCTTAGCTAATGGTCACCTTATACTTTAAACCTTAGTTTATCTTACTCTAGATAGTTTCTTGGTTATTCAGAAGAAAGAGTATACAAACATGCAGTTGTACTAAAGTATTTTTCTAGGAAAGGGAGGTATCTTTTGGTCATACCTCAGTGCCAGCAGATTCAAAGACAATCTACAATGATGGGAAGCACAAGAAATAATAGAAGTTCATTTCTTAAACCAGTACCTCAATTATCTCTCTTAAAATACTACAGAAAAAAAAATATAAACAACCCACATTCTATAACCAATAAAAAAAGTTGGAACGAGGTTTTTCATTGGTGATAGAATCACAGGATTGAAAGAAAGCTGAAGGGTAATCTGGTTCAATACCCTGCACAAATGCAGAACTGCCACTGCAGGGACTATAAACCATGATGACTCAACCTCCAGGGGTTCATCATAACACCAGCAACAGATGCATGCTCCCTTCTGCTAATTCTCTCCAACCCTATTAAACTTGCATTCCTTTCTATACAATCACCCAGCTTTCAACAGGAGAGATGGAAAGTGCCCTCAATCTAGTCTGTAGTTAAGATACTCCTCCTGGGAGTTTGGGGCAATGATTTTCAAGCTATGTCTCCCACTTCTTGGGAAACTACTTTAAGCCAGTAAAATTACCACATAAAAAGTGACAATCCCCATTGCCATCCTCCTCTAGCCCTATTTTTATTGGAAATAACCAGGGCTACTGTGATTCTGTCTGTGCCTATTTACACATTAAGCCTACCATTAAAAAAAAGCCTGAAAACAACTACTGGATTAGTCCCCAAAAGGGACAGGTCCCTTGTCTGTTGCTACCAAATAGTTGGTACCAGTCCGTTTCTACCTTGATCCATGGAAGTGCAAGGGCACTCAGATTGGCCAAGATGACGCGAACAGTAACACTTCAGGTACTTACAGCTGCTGTAGTGCCAAAGCAGTTTGGCAAGGCTTTTGTGGATTGCTCAGCCGGAAGCAAGTACTTACATCCACCTAATTTACATTTTAGGTCCAAAAATACTTTTCTGTAGCTACAGTCCACACTATTTAGGAATCCATATGGGTAAGACTTAATATTTCAGATTCATTATACATTAAATATTAGCTTATATTTTCACTGATGTAGATATAAAACAAAAGAGAGACACACACATAAACCACTGATTCAAAGGCATCATGATTATATATGAATTTCGCATTGATTCATTTACAGAAAAATTAAACAAATTACATTTTATTTCCATTTTATTTTCAGAAATACATAGACTATTTCCAAACATTCTGCTGGAGACTCAACTAGCACCATTCTGGATATTAACCGCTGTAATGGATGGTATAACTGCTTCAGCATAGGTAGTACAATTAGAATTTACTTCCTTATTGTGGTTAAATAAGGTTTTCCAATTCAGCGGGAGCCAACTATTTTGGCAGGCATGTCACAAATTAGCACCAAACACTCATGGTGTGCCACTATGATCCCTTTTTTCCCCATTTACCCAATCTGCTACTCTGCTCCCTGGCCTGTGCTTCCTGCCTGATCTACTACTCTGCTTTACATTCCCTGCCCTATCCACCACTGCGCTGTCTCCCAGCCTACCACATGCTACCCTACCCATCTCCCCAACCTACCACATGCTACACACACAAGCTGCCCATGCCTCTTGTGGCACCCATGCCTCAGGGTGGTCACCACTTCTTTAATCCAGGAGGAAAAAGCTTTGGCATAGCCCATATATTCTCACAAGTACATTTAAAAAAGAAAGAAAGAAAAAAAAAAAAAAAAAAAGTTTGGGACTCAACTTTATACATAAAGAATCAAACTTGCATACTGCTTGAAAAGGTTTGCGATCAATAGGACACAAAGCCATGATCTGAAAGGAAATTTTGTTTATTATAATCTGTATCAAGTTAGGGAGAAAAAATCCAAATATTTGAGATTTAACAATAAGTTAGAGAACACAGCTTGCTGAACACACAAAATTACGGCTTACTCGTATTAAGAAATTATTGCTTTTTATTATCCTAGAAAAAATTAACTAATCATCATAAATGTTAGATACAGATTTAGTATTTTATCAATCACTTACGTATCCAATCTTTCCATAACGCAGGGTGGATAAAAAATTAACAATTAAAAAAAGAAGTCAGATTTTTTATTTAAATCAGTTTAATTGTATTTTTGATCTTTTTGTTAAGATGTTTTTAAAAAAATAAATTAAAACTATCATTATATAAATTTAAGATATGTTAAAACTCAAGATATTATCATGGAATAGGGATTATAACTTCTCATTTTATGCTATTTGAGATAGTATATTCATGTAACCTTTTTAGAAGTTTTATAAGTAGGTCACAGTAGGTCATGGACTATATTAGGGGCCCAATCTTATGGAGTTCCCAGTGGCTCCTCTATAGATTAGTAAAGATTAAAGAAAACCACTCTGCCCAGTGGGAGTCAGTGCTCAGTCTGGAAGATCCCATCAAGCATCTCTGTGATGCTTAGTTTCAGTTCTCAAACCGTGGATTTGTCTCTCCAGAGATTGTGGGCAGACAAGGTTCTTTGGATAGATGTGATCTCTTTTATTACATCAACTAAGTAGTCAGAAAAATTGTTCTTTGCAAGCTTTCGTGCACAAACTCCCTTCTTCAGGCCTAGGGAGAATTTGTCTCCATATGCTGCTATTTCTTATCAAGGATGTTATCACTGGAGATGAGAGATGACAGACCTGATTACCCACCCATCAGCCCCACTGTCTCTCTGAAAGTTTGTATATATACAGTCAAGCCATTAACTTTCTCTAAAAGTGCAAAGTTTCAAGAAATTAAAAGAATAAAGGATATCCAACAACAATGCACTTTTTTTTTGTGAAAACAGATTAAACAGAGGCTTCCTGATGAGCGATTTAAATGCAATAAGGAGAAAATCTACCTCCGTGAAACAAAATGTATCAGAATATTCAGTTAAGAAGTTATATTTATATAAAATTACCTGCCACTTTTTTCCTACAGAGTAACAAGCTTTACTTCACCTTATACAAGAACATTTGCATTCTCATGTTTCAAAGGTACAAAACTATATCCAAGAAAACAAAAACCTAAGTAGCAACCTGAAAATTATGGCCTGAAAAATTCTTTTCCATCCTCCAAAATTCACAATATTTTTTAAAACATACAATTAGCACGTACACACACAAACAAGGTAAAAAAAATTCTGTTGCCCAACAAGGCTTTAACCTCTATGAAACTTCTATTTACTGTAAAAGAATTAACATAAGACACCTGATGCAACCAACAATTTTTACTTGTACCGATTACCAGGATTTAAAACCATTTCACTCATGCTCCTCCTCATTTCAAAAAGTGTGTTTTGATTAAATGAGAGCTAGCAGGTAATAGCTAAAATGGAATAAAAGTCTAGTGAGGACAAAACACTTCACAATTTTCTTTTAGAGGTACCTCAACTTATTAAACACACAATTTTTACATGCTTCAACAGACTGCAGTACCCCCCAAAAACCTGAAAATCAGAAGCTGCTGTCTTGTTCAGGATTTTAATTTTATAACTAGGGACCTAATTAACTTGCGGTTTTGTAGAATTCACGGAAACTGAAATCTGGGATGGTCCGCAAAATCCACAAGATCAACCAAAATACTTAAAAATAAAACGCTTAAAAATGGTGGTCCCTGCTGCCGGGAGGGGAAGGCGCTGTCTGGCAAGGCAGCCTGAAGGGCAGCAGACAAGATGGCAGCTTCTCCCTCCTCCCCCAGCCAGTGCCTCTTTGCCAATCAGCACTAAGGGGTGGGGCAGCACAAAGGGCAGCCAGCAATCAAGGTGGTGGCTGCCCCCTCGTCCTTTCTCCCCCCTGGGGCCTCTTCGACAATGAGGGTACAGGGGCACCACAAAAAAAATCAGCTGTGAGTAGGCCAAGAAAAACTCTTCATCTCACCACAATGTGGTAGGGAGATGAGGCTATGAATAGGGACCTACTTAAATCTCTCTCCAGTAAGCTAACACACAGGAAAAATGTCCCTTTTCTATTAGTGAAGATCTACCCGAAGTGGAAAAAAAAGAAAGAAAAGGTATGTTTTTTCTCCTACCCCAAAACAATGCAGGCTAGAACATGGATACTACTGCTGAGCACATGCTAAATCACTGGAGACCAACCCTTTTGGCAGGTATAGCACAAATTAGCCCTGCATCCTCCCAAATGCCATTCCAATCCCCTTCCCCATCTGTTGCTCTGCTTTCTGCTGCCTAACTAGTCCACTGCTCTGCTTTCTACTTCCTGCCCTGTGTTGCCTGCCTGATCTGCTGTGCACCAATAGGCTGCACCCATAACACCTGTTGCACTGATGCCACAGATTGGCCACCCCCATGCTAATAATGTAGCAGTAGAAGCAATAATACAAACCACTACATGACTGCTCTTCTATTGAATAGTTTCTTCAGAAATGGTAGAGTATACCAAGTCCTTCATTTTTCCTGATTTACTTCCTCTTCAGGAGAGAAGCTATAAGAATTGGATAAGAGTAACTCTACCAGTTCACATATCTACTAGTCCACTTTCTCCAAGAATTTGGTAGACTAGTTCAAAGGACTGCTTTATAAAGTATTTTGCATTTCAGGAGTTTCGTATGTTAAAATATACAATTGTGAACTGACCCTCTTCACCACCACCTCTGTGGATACTCTTGATAATTAAGAGAGACTGAAAAGTTAGTCAAAATAACTGTATGAAAATTCCCAAAATATACTAAATAAATATATTCCAGGATTATTTTATGGGATTATTCCATTTTGCCAACAAAGCCAGCTCCTCAACACCCCTATGATTGTAACTTTGGAGCAATTACTGATCTCGACAATATGAACCAACATCCATCCACACAAGTTGCACCTGATTTCCAGTAGCATTTGAATGAAGTTATGTAGAAACAACCATATTCCACCTTAGCATTTTCAAGTGCTAATTGAGAGAAAAAAATTAAGGAATCCTATAAGTGTAGTAAGTTGCTAGAATGAACCTAGCACAGAGATTATTATTCTATCACATCATTGTGTGAACATGTCATGTTTTTGTTAAGATCAATACTCAGTTATGAAATGGCAGAGAAAAGAAAACAGGTTGCTGTAGTAAATCCCTTCACTTTGGCACTTGCTAAATGGCTCTCATGTAAAAACCCATCTTTCCATTTTAGAATTTATGATCTGCAAAGAAAACACGAGTCCGTGTAATCCACCATGTGAGATGCCCAGGGACAAACACTTCAAAAGATAAAAGTTTATTTATCTATATAGTCAACTGAAACTTGTTTGATGCAGTCACCCCAATGGCTAGATACACACTGAACTTTGGTTGAACCAGTATCCCATTCTTCACTCAAATGTAAATGAAAGAAATGAGAAAGCAGAAGAAAAAGGAGAAATAAGTGGAGGAGAAAAGAAACATAAAATAAATAACTCTATCTCCTAGGCTGGTGGGGACATTACAGAGTGGCAATAGTGATGAGGTATAATTTTGTTATCCATAACATGGAGTGATGGGGGTATACAGTAGCATAACCTACCTGGAAAAGGATGCGCCAGGCAAACTGTCCTAAACTATTTTCTTTGAAAGAATGAATGTCATCTTTGCTGAAAAAATGCAAGGTGATAAAGTATCCACCCACAGATTTTCAAAGTGGATCGCTGGATGCACACTATGCTGTGAATTACCTAAGGATGCCGACACCAGGAATTACTGGTGGTAATCCACTAATCCCATTCATCTTCAATGCTGTCCCTTAAAAATGTTTCCATCACTTCAAGTACCTTTCAAAGGCAGTGTGCATGCTATCTGTTCTTTTGGTAAGGCAGTAATGTGTCTACAACATTGGGCGGGGGGAAGGAGAGGAGGGGGACATGGAGGTATACAAGTAAAACCTTCACCCTCTATGTTGTGAAGACATTGCTTTTATACCCAATTGTACCCAATTGGGGGAATAAAGCCCTCAAAACTCTACCTTCCTTGCAAAAGATGACATTTAAAAATAAAAGGAAGAGAAAGTTGGTTGGGTTTGGGCATCATCAGTAGAAATAAACTTCAACACATATTTATCCATTATCATGATATTCCATACTGTTAAGAAAAACTGGCAAGGGCATGGTTTCAAACAGAACAAAAAGAATGGAAACAAAACCCAAGCGATTCAGAGATGATAATCATCATCCTTTTCTGATATACCCTCTAACGTTTTAATATAAACGTTCATAAAAGCACCAAGAAGAACATCAGGAGAGTTGTCTTCCATTTCTAGTAGAAATCACTTCAGTAAACTTCCTCTTCATTAAAAATTAACCTGCGTGCCATAAAGTAGGGGAAAGGAGAGGGATTTCAGAAAAAGATCACTGCTCTTAAATGATGGACCCTGGACTACTGTCTATACTTCCTATGGAATATCTGAATGTTGAAGCCAGAAAGTCCATATCATTATTGTGCTAGTCAACAGCAGGGATCTGGGTTTCTGTTTCCCACGGAAAAAAGGAGAAAAACCACAGACCCCTGCATTTTCCTTCAGTAAAAGTTTTGCAAAGAGTTCTCTACAGGCTGGCAAAGGTCCAGCCTGCAAGGGGTTGGGAAGGAGCGGAAGGAGGGTGGTCAGACAGGGGATGCCACATGCATGTATACATACATGACTGCTGGGAACCTGGAGAGCGACTCCTGTAGGTAAGTGGGGTGGGGGGTAGTGGGGATGGGGGTCCCCACAGGGAAGGAAGGAGGGAGGAAGAGTTGGGCAGGGATAGGGCTGGAATGCATGGCTGCAGGGCCCCAGTGGGGAACAGGACAGGGCCATGGGCAGCTTGTCCGGGGGATGGGAGGACCTGTGCCCCACAGATCTATGCATGGGACAGGGGCAGGCTGCCTGCTGCAGACTCAAGCTCTTATCCTGCTGCCTTCCCTCAGGGTTTCCACAGCCTACCAGGTGTGACCCAACATTGCAAGAAACAGTGGGGCTATGCGGGGATCTCCTTGCCATAAAGAGTTAAATGGATACGTGACTAGTTCAACCAACAACTCATTTATTCTAGTTGGGAGGACAAAACAAGTGACTGATCTATACAATAGTGAAGAGATAAAGTTAACTAAAATGCAATTTAACTCAAAGGACAAAACTTAAATATAAAATTGTTTCCTTCAAACTAGAAACATAAAATACGGCTATAGAAAAAAAAAACAGCATACACCAACACATGTTGTTTCTCTACTTCCAAATAAAATCAAAATTGGCTGGTATTCTCAGACAACCTAACCCACAGTAGCAAAATTAGTGTTAAGCGAGGGAAAAGACTTGTAAAAGTCATAAGAAAAAAATGCAAACGACAAAAGAAAGCTTTTCCATTAACCTTCAACAAATAACAAAACCTAAACAATAATTACTGATTATAACAGTACAGCAAAACTGCAGCTATGATCATTACTTTTATGCACCAAGTTATTAAATTTATGCACAATTAAGGATCTGAAGGTTTTGCAGAGCTAAAAAGTAAAAAAAAATGAAGGGCTGATAGAGTGGGTATAAAAAAACCCAACAAAACGTTTTTTATGTAACTAGCAAGTGCAGTTATAACAACAAGTTATCCTAACTTAACCCTCCAACTGCCCATCATTAATTGGCTTTCTAGTATGCATCACAAGAGAAGTTGGGAGCTAGCTCCCAGGAAAGGAAATGAAAGGTATCCCATTATTTCATTATACTGTAAAGAAAGTTATTTCATTGTAAGTATAATTAAATCTTTTATTTTTAAATCAATTAGAACACATATGTTCATAAAAAACAGTGGTAACTGAATTAGTAACTATGTCAGCCAGCTAATTATTTTCCCCATTACAATTTCAGAAAAAAGGATGTAATGTATTCCAAGAGACTAACCTCTGCCCATTTGAGAATACAGGTCATGCAGAAGATGTGACTGCAGTTTTCTGGAAAACCAACTTCCTGTTCTAGAAGACAATTTAGACAGATTGGGCACCTGTCCCCTTCATCATATAACAAGCCAGCAGAACAGGAACAGCTGTCTTCTTTTTCTTCACCTGTTATTAACAATGACACTTTCAAATTTGTTGCCATTTTGGGAAACAGTTATGTAGATATGAGTAAGAAGCAGTTTATTGAATGTAATATTATGATATATTTAAATCTCCTTAGTTCCTCAAATTAGTATGCAATACTGTCTGTACGATACATTAACAGTTAACATGGTGAATTTATAAAAGCAGAGTAGGAAGCTAATTATAAACGTTTCAGTTACTTTCTAGTCAAGCTGCTAACCAAAACAGCTTAGTTCACGAAGGAATGAGTAGTTGACTAGGAAAATCCTGAAAAGCAAAAACACCTATTATTTTCTGTACAAAGTAAAGTAAGTTAACTCTCAACCTTTAAAAATAAAACTTTAGGATGACAAGTTATTGAACTAGCATTTTCCTACTGCATTTGGCATGAATACTTCACGTAAAAGCCTCCCATTGACTAAACACTGCTCACGTTTCAGGTACTTCAACATATCAGGATGAATTAAATGAACAAACTATCTACCTTATTTTAGTTTGAGTGAAATTACAAAACTAAAATTGCATCCAACTAATCTATTATCAGCAATCCAGGCTTTCAACTTGCCACGGAAAAAAAACACAGATTTTCTCCTTTAAAAGTGAAAACCACGGATTTCCTCTTTAAAAAGAGAAAGGCAGGAAACTGTGGGTTTCCCCCTGCAGGCTGGAAGAGTTCTAGTGAGAGAGGGGGAGGCCCACAGGTGTTTCATTTTAATCACGGATTAAAAACCCCCAAATCCTCATTTTTCAAAGAATTTGGGATTTTTAAACAGAGAAAACCAGGATCCCTGCTTATTATTCCTCTGCCACCTCTGGGAATTTCTTGCCCCCTCTTCCAACTGTTTAATAAAACAAACAAACAAAAACAGTGCTGTGCTTGGCTTTCACTCCGCAGACCTAAGGAAGAATGTCTTGCATTAGAAAAGCTTGTTTAACTCTATCCAATTATGCAGTTGGTTCAATAATATATAACCTTAAAAAATCCTTGCGTTCTCAGTTCCTGAACCACCATGGCTAACCATTCTAACACTACTTCTAACTTAATAAATTCCTACTGCATATGGTAAATGCAGCAGCGTGCATTTAAGTGTTCTTAATTCTGTTACAATCTTGTTTTCAAAACTAGGACTTGTTTTCAAAACCAGTTATCATATTTTCTTAAATATAACATCCCCAAGTATAATACACACCTTGCTTTTGAAAAGCATTATAAAGACCTTTTTTGCCAGAATTATGGCTGCAGAGAGCAGGGACAGGGCAGAATCTTCAGCTGACTCATCCTCTTCCTTGCTTAACTAAAACCCTAGCTGCTACTGAAGACTGGTCTCCATGAGTGGACCTATAATTAGGGACCTACCGAGTTCACGGCAGAAGTAGAGTATGTGGCAGCTCTTTTAATCTTGCGTGTTCCCCCGCGCACACCTCACCCCTTGGCCCCTGCCTCACTGCTGGTTAGCAGAGGACCCGGAAGCTAAAACCATGGCTTTAAACACAGCGCCATTTTTGCCTCCTTGCCAGCCAGCAGCAAACAGGAGGGCCATCTGGGGCCCCTCAGCCAATTAGTAGCCCGAGGCAAAAATGGCACCATATTTAAAACCACAGTTTTTGCTTCTCTGCTGACCAGAAGTGAGCTGCAAGCAGAGCCAATCACTGGGGTGGGGGGAAGTGGGGAACCTGCAAGATTAAAGGAACCACAGCACACCCTGCTTGCGCCATGAATTTGGTAGGTCCTACCTACAATTTTGAAAACAGCTGAAGGGCTGTGAAACAGGGTAAGATCACAAACCCTAGCAGACAGCAAAACTGCCCTAAGAAAGGTTAGCTTGACTAGTGGAATGACCATTAGAAAGGAGAGATGATTATTAACACCTGTGAAGAGAAGAGCAACAGGCCATTAACTCAATGGCATATTAATAGGCCACTGACTCCCTCAGCTGCCTGAATAATGCCAGAGCTGCTGCACTGCTGAGCAGGAATCAAAAGAGGGGCAAAACATCAGCTTCTCTCACTCTAAAACTGGGGGGGGAAGGGGGGGGGGGGGAGGAGGAGGCTGATTTTGGGGAAAATGGTGTGTGCTGTATGCAAGAAAACACAGCAATATAAATTACCCAGTTTTAGTTCATTTTTCAAGTTGATAGTTAGGACATATCCTCCAAC